GCTGGCCAGCCTCCCCATTATACTCTGGCTCATGGCTGTTGTAGCAGGGGTAACCTCTTCTGAGTACAGATGCTCCTGCACTGACCATGGGTATGGCCCGATAAACTCTCTGCACGCTGAAAATAGCATGTCTAAATGCATTTAATTCACCTACCCTACCGAGTATCATAGCTTAGCCCGGCCTGCCTTGAATGTGCTCAGAATACTTCCGGTAGTCCACAGAATCATCTAACACAAGCTTGTTTTATAACAAAGTGTTGTCTCATGTCATTTGTTATACATATTGCTTTGCACCATTGTAAGTCAGGGACCTGTACTAAATTGTAGATGGATCTTCTACTTCTAGTGGACTAGTTAAAAGTAGGAGCCCTGAGTAGACAAGGTCTTCAGAGAAATCACCTCAATCTTGGCCTAGAAATTTCTAGCAATTCTTTAAAAACACCTTTTTAATTATCGGGGGCCAAGGCAGAAGCCCTCGGCCGCAGCTGTAGTGGTGGCGGCAGTGGGCAGTGACCGGGACCAAGGCCCTTGCATAAATTTTGTGCATCAGGCCTCTAGTCTACACTAATAAAAGAGAAATATGCAAATTGACCATGCCTCCATGATGCCCACCAGCCAATCAGGAGTGAGCATGCAAATTAACCCAACCTAGGTGGCAGGTTAATTTGCATATGCAGGTGTAGATTGAAGACTGAAGGCTTCGGCCCGAGCAAAGACTTAAGACTGAAGAGGCTTGGCTTCTCCATTATGGCCGGAGCAGAGAAGACAAGCCTTGTTGGGCAAAGGCCTGGCCTGGGTTCCGGGTGTCAGAGGAAAACCAGTGCTGGCAGCCAGGGGAAGGAAGGCCTATCCTTGCATGAATCTTTGTGCAATGGGCATCCATTATAGGTAATAAACCACCATGGTGAGTTTGTTATGTTTCCATGCAGACTTCTCTCTTTCATGTAGCAACTATCCTCCCATTTAGAGATTGGATATGGGTAATTCTGCCCTCCTTTAAGGTGGTGACAGCCTCTTGGAGGCCCGAGCCTACAACCTACCAGTATCCAAAGTTAGTGAACATGGCTCCACTCTCCCTCCATACCACCTGGCAGAGGACCTGAGGCGAGACCTGGGACCTTGAGTGGACTAAGGCGCGAGAAAGGACGTTTCACAAGCTCTGCAGGGGAGTCCTGGAAAGAATGCTGAAAAGACCAGACACACATTTTACTTTGCTGCTTGGCTGAGACTCTGCCTACTGACTTAACTGTGAACACCCTTCACCTCACCTGTAGGCCGCTCTGGGCCTGCAGGAGGGTGGGTGTGGCCGCCCCTTCTCCCTGCTTGTAACGGAAACCTGAGGGTTTTGGCAGTAGAGACCAGAGATGGACATTTCATGTGCCCCTGCGGGCTTCCCTTGAGTCCAAATAGCTCTCTTAAATGATGGCCAGTGGGCAAGAAACATTTCCTTTGGAATATTTCTGGCAAACTGTAGATTTCCTGGATGCATTCTGCACATGAAGCACCTCTTCTTGGTAAACTGTGTTGCTAGAAGAATGTCAGGAATTTTCTTTATTGGTTCTCCATATGTGCTCTAGCCACTGCATTTCCAAGGTGAAGGTATAGAGCTGGCTTACAAGAAAGGTGTGATGAACTTGGAGTCTCTCTCCTGGTTCGTGGTGGCTCGTGTATGATCCTTAGAGATCCTTAGAGAGAGCTTGCATGTTCTGTCTCTATCCAGTGGTGAGTGCTCTCTCATTTCTTCCCAGGTTGGCTGGTTCCTCTGGCTGATGGCATGTTGAGATTCAAGGGCCGGTGGCAGCGAGGGCTTCTGATCCAGAGGGGAGCACTCTAGAGGCCAGGCCACCAGTACCATGGGCCAGTGTGTCACCAAGTGCAAGAATCCCTCATCGACCCTGGGCAGCAAGAATGGAGACCGTGACCCCAGCAGCAAGTCACACAGCAGGCGGGGTGCAGGCCACCGCGAGGAGCAGCTGCCGGCCTGTGGCAAGCCAGGAGGGGATATCCTCGTCAATGGGACCAAGAAGGCAGAGGCTGCCACGGAGGCCTGCCAGCTGCCCACATCCTCAGGAGATGCTGGGAGGGAGCCCAAGTCCTGTGCCGAAGAGTCTTCCTTGCAGAGGTTGGAGGAACTGTTCAGGCGCTACAAGGATGAGCGGGAGGATGCAATTTTGGAGGAAGGCATGGAGCGCTTTTGCAATGACCTCTGTGTTGACCCCACGGAGTTTCGAGTGCTGCTCTTGGCTTGGAAGTTCCAGGCTGCTACCATGTGCAAATTCACCAGGTGAGTCCCCATCCTCTTCCAGGTGAGCACAGGAGGGAGCACACCCGGCAGTGATCCGTCCGGGCAGAGCGGGACTGGCTTCCTGGAGTTGGGTCTTCCTCTCTCTGTCAGAGCTCTCTAGGCTGTCCAGCCTTGGTGACGGGGCACTGACCCTCCCTGACTAAAGCTCAGCAGGGCGTGATCCGTGCTGAGCCCTGCTACCACATCACAGCCCAGCCTCTCTGCTGCTGCAGACCCTCCGCTCCCTCCGTCATCCGCTCCCCTCCTCTCTACTGCCCTGCACCGGGCGTGCCCGGCCCGGGGAGTGCCCTGGGATGTGCCTGTCACTGCATGAGGCAGGTAGCCCCTCCGCGCCCTCCAGCAGTGCCTCGCTGGCACCTCATGGCCACACATCTCCATGGAGGGTGTCTGAAGGGGAGGGCGTGGCAGGGTTACCCCAAGGTGTGGTTTGCGAAGTGCTGGGGTGGATACAAATTTGCTTTGAGAACTCCTCCCGTAACTTCCAGCCCTGGGGTAGATTGCCCAGCAGACCTCAGAGGCCTTTCCTCTGGTGGTGCAGCAGCCTCTGGGATGGTGATCAGTGTGGACCAGATTGTGAGCTGAAGGTGTTCCACGGAAGTTCAGAATACACACACGATTTTTGTTTCTTAATAGGAAATTTTGACACTGGTGGGAGTTACCCAGGTTCATCCAGAATCTTTGGTCCCTTGGCAGTCACCAAGAATATTCCAGAAACAGCCCACAGAACATCAGAGAACAGGAAGGGCCCCTCGGAGGAGGGAAGCACAGCCCCTGTTGCAGAAAGGGGAGCAGGGCATGGAGCTGGCGTCGGGCTGTGGGAAGATGAGGAGATGAATGGACAGGCAGGCGCTTTAGAAGCGGTGACATAGTAACCTGTCCTCACTCCACCCGGAAGAGTGACATGGTGGTCTCAGCACTTCCGAGGTGGATGAGTCCAGTTCCCACAGCCCCCGGCTGCATGGCGCGCTCTCCACGCCATTGCCTCACAGGAACTGATTCCCGTTAGGGTGACTAATTGTGCCCCTACTTCCTGTTGCAGGAAGGAGTTTTTTGATGGCTGCAAAGCAATAAGTGCAGACAGCATCGATGGGATCTGTGCGCGGTTCCCCAGCCTCTTGACCGAAGCCAAACAAGAGGACAAGTTCAAGGACCTGTACCGGTTTACATTTCAGTTTGGCCTAGACTCTGAAGAAGGGCAGCGGTCACTGCATCGGGAAATAGCCATTGCCCTGTGGAAGCTAGTCTTTACCCAGAACAACCCGCCCGTGTTGGACCAGTGGCTACACTTCCTGACAGAGAACCCTTCGGGGGTCAAGGGCATCTCCCGGGACACTTGGAATATGTTCCTAAACTTCACTCAGGTGATCGGCCCCGACCTCAGCAACTACAGCGAAGACGAAGCCTGGCCCAGCCTCTTCGACACCTTCGTGGAGTGGGAGATGGAGCGGAGGAAGCGGGAGGGCGCGGGGGGCGGCGCGCGCAGCTCAGGGCCCGGGGGCTCGTGTCCCCAAGAGCAGACTTAGTGCTCCGGCCCGGAGCCCGCCGAGGAACGGACCTTTCTGGAAATTACCGAAGATCCGGATATTTTCTACTTTACACCTTTCTCTGCCTTGTATCTGAAAGGGCTCTAAAATGCTGTATCATGTTTTAGGCACTTTCTTCACTCTTTGGTTATTTTGGTTATTCCTTTTTTGGGGGGTCCCCCAAAACATTTGAACCTGGCTACATGTTATGTATCTTTTTTTTAAGCCTTCAGATAGAGTAAGCCTGCCATTTCTTGCACAAATAGATGTTTGTGGGGGGAGGGCGTCAGCGGGACCGGCGGTCCGCTGAGCTGACATTAGACACCAGTGCAGGTCTGTGCCTCCACGGGGCAGGTCTGTGCTGTGTGCGGTGCTGTTTACATGTTGAATTGCGGTTGTGATGATTTTTAAAGATTTGCCCGGAGTTGACTAGCAGTGTTAACTGTTACCCACGTTTCATCAGTTCCCTGTGAGTTAAAGCCCTTGGAGAGCCAGGGCCGCCAAACGTGTCCTCTGGCGACAGCCCGCCCTGCCCGCAAGCTGGCCCGCACCTGCTCCCCGCACGTCCCTCTGACCATTGCATTGCGTTTCATGCCGATGCCCGCCGCACGCGGCCTGCCAGGCAAGTGAGCGGAGTCTGAGCCGCCCGCAGCCAGAGCTCCGAGGGCAGAGAAAGCAGCGCTACCTCAGTTTGGCCGGAAGCAGTCTTTGACAGGTGTTTCTCTTTTATGAAATTTTCTGTATTTTCATGCTGTAAGTGGAAATACTTTTTTTTTTTTCTTTTTTCATTTACCTTGGAGCCAAAGTTTCTGTTCCTGGTGGTCGGAAACTGCCTGCCAGCCACCGGACCTGAAGGAAAACTGTGGCATGGAGCTCTGCTTAAATACTTCCTTAGAAAACGTGGAAACATCAGCTTGCTTGTCTGGCAAGTGCATCAGCCTGGCTGGCCCGAACGCTGCCAACGTACGCGTCTTTACTAGCGAGCGTGTGCCCTTCCTTCTTGCTGCGCCGTGTCGTCCCTCACCCCGGGCGTTATTTATTGTCTGTGATGTCAGGCCATTGGGGTGATGTGATGGCTGTTTAGGTTTACATTGCCCTCTTCTCCTTCCCCTCCCCACATATGTATATGTACATATATAAGATATGTATATATCTTACCTATCTAAATATATATGTACACATATATGTATCTATATTCCCGTTTGCCTGCTAAAACTGGCCCGAGAGGAGGGCCGGGGAGCGGAGGGATGGAGCTTCTGAATCTGAGTGCAGACCATTTCACTAACGAGAAGATGACTTTCTCAGCTCTTTCCTCACAAGAGGGAGCCCAGTCCCCAGATTCCTGCGCCCACTCCCCGAGGCCAGCTGGGGACACTGCCCAGGAGCTGGCTGTCCTACCTCGCTCAGTGAGGGCTGTCCTTTCCCTTGGACCCCGTCCTCCGAGCCTATGCTGGAAGGGGGGCGGAGGGGCTTGGGGCCAGGTGGAAAGGGAGTCTTTTAAATAAATGTATGAAACACTTATATTTTTGAGGTGACGAGTTTGTCCGTGGGGCGTTGGCGTGTTCGCCCTGGCTGCAGGTGCCGGGTCCTAGGCCCTTGGCTCGCCTTAGAGAGTCAGATCTCGTCTTGACAGACGATGTCTGAGGAGTTTCTGCCCTTGATGTGTTCCTGAAGTTGACATTGACAGGGAAGGTCACTGGAGTTGGATGTTCGTGCCTCCAGCGGTGGATGGGGAATGGGAAAGTCAGCACAGCCGTCAGCAATGCTGCTGGGACGCTGGGAGGGTGGGCCTCCGGCAGGTGTCTGCCTCATTCAGCCTGACACCAGATCCTGTATATTTTCTGGGGACCCCAGCTGGTTCTGTGGGTTCAGTTGTAGTCAGCATGCCCAAACTGAGTTCTTAGACGATCTTCTCACCCAACTGTCTGCAACCTCTTGGTTTTCCCAGTTCCGATTGGGGTGGGGAGGGGGGAGAGGAGGAGGCAGGTGCCCCTAGCCCGGGCACAGGGGAGGAGTCCCAGGTCCAAGAGCCCTGAGGCTGCCCCTCCCCAGCCTACAGGAAGGCATCCCTTCGTAAGGTGGACTAGAGTGAGGGGTTTTGTTTTTAATTGTTTATCTTCCCTGGGCCCACACAAGAACTATTTTTAGAAGTTCTCAATTATATTTCAATGATAATTATTACAAAAATGCAAATGAGGACCAGAAAAGGGCGCAGTCAGGGCGGGACTTCAAGTTCCTCCACGAGGGCACCCCTGGCCGCAGTAGTGTGGGGCTCGGCGGGCGCCGGGCCGTGCCCACGGGAAGCGGGCTCGCTGCAGAGGGGCCCACGGTGGCGTGCAGGGCTTCGTGGCGCTCTGGGAAGTGGAACACCCCTTTCCCTTTCCCTTTCCCTTTCCCTTTCCCTTTCCCTTTCCCTTTCCCTTTCCCTTTCCCTTTCCCTTTCCCTGGAAATGGGTTTGCGACCGAGCAGGAATGGTGTGGGAGAGGCCACTTGCAGGGCCCTGCGCCAGGCTCGGGCACCCTCCCTCCAGGATGCGGATGCCATTTTGAAAATAGGCACATATCTGAGGGTGACGACAAACTGAATTATTGTGTGGCAAATGCGTTGGTTTTGGCGAATGGTTTTGTGGCTTCTGTTTCTAATTGCTCAGTTAGCAGTTAGAAAGCTGGATGGGATGGTGTTGCTTCATTGAGTGGCTCTTCCCCTCCCTGCACATTGGAATACACCATTAGCCCCGCCTCCTGCAGTGGCATGCTGGGCTCCAGCTGGCCTAGCAGCGCCTCATCCATGCCGCAGGAACCCACTTGTAGGAGTTGGTTCCAAGACTCCATACTGATCTTGGTAAGAAGAATCTAGATTTGAGTAAAGATCCAAATTTCAGCCACGCTTTTGGATATCAGTTGAAAATGTACCAGGCATCGTTTTCTGTATTAAAAGGGTTCAGCCACACAGTGTTAGCTGGTCTCTGAAGCAGTGCCGGCCGCCAGGGGCAGGAGCCGCAGTGGGACTCCACCGCTCAGGCCTCCCACCCTGTGTCAGGCAGCGGAGGAGGTTCCTAGGACCAGGAGTTGGGTCCAGAAGCTTACAAACCAAAGCAGGTCTGCCTCAGCACTGTCCGTGCTGCAGGAGTGTCTTCAGGGCAGTGCAGCCGGGAGACCCATCACCCAATTCCAAGGCGAGGCTGAGGGCGCTACCAGGCTGGCTTTGTCAGCTCCCATTTCCCATTTCCTGGTCTCTGGTCAGTGAGGACTTGGCCATCGTGGTCACGGGTACAGCTGAAAGGACTGTCAGGTGTTCACTGGGACGCATTGAGGACAGGACGTATGAAACGGACCCTCCCTCCCGTCTGTTCTGCCTGGTGCGGAGGGTCCCCACCCTCCCTCAGTGATTGCTGTGGGAAGCTGTAATTGTGGCATTTGGTTAGGGAACCTGGACTGGCCTGCATGTGAGGGAAGCTATAGCGGTGTTTTCCTTATGGAGGGACAGAACAGATGCTGGAGCTCTGGTTCAGCAACCAGATGGTTCTGGTGGCTTTGAGCGGCCATAGGTGCTGGCCGTCACCTCCTCCCGCTCCTCGGAAACTCAGCCTGCCCGCACTGCCCGCTCCACGGCCAGCATGGTCTCGGATATTGCCAAAGCAAGCCGTTCAGCTGGACCCAGCACACATTTATTCCGGGAGAAGTGTCTTCCCTCTGACCTGGTCCCAGCCCAGAGTGGGATTAATTGCTCATACCCGTTGCACTAATGAATGATCCTAGGTTTCAAAGGGGGAATTTGAAGCAGTAGGCAAAAGGGGCTTGGGTGAGTTGGTCTTACAGACACCCTGCCTTACCCCGCTGAGGTGATGAGTCCACTACTCACGTGACCCTCCACCTTTGTGGATTCCTCTTGGTTTGTGATCAGTGTTTCTTAAGGTTGTACAAACTTGTTGACTGAAATCAATACTTTTGTTTGTATTCTCTGCACTGTTAGGCTCTCCAAATGGCCCACCGAATCTTTTTATTAACTTGTTACACACTTTTTTTTTTGTCTTTGTCTAATTATTTCTTTTGATCTTTTATTTGGAAGGTTACCTGCTGTTGTGTTTAAATAAATTTGTTTACTTGATTGACAATTCTGAAAAAAAAAATGAAAAAAAACAGTGGCTTTATTCTCGGGCAGGATTTACCCTATGGTAGACCTTCCAATGGGAAATTGGATGGCAGTCCTGTGCTTCAGAAAGTCCAGATAGTATAGGACCTAGAGTCCCACTCACCAAGCTTAATTGCCTTTGGGGTCCCAGGATGGAGGCAAAGCGAACAAGCCCTCACAGGGCCACTCCCTCGGTACGTGTGACCTTGGCAAATGGCGTGGATTCCCATGCGGAGCAGGAGGTAAATGTGCTCCGTGCTGAGTGGTGGCAGCCCTCTCAGGTGGCAGTGATGAAGGCAGAGGACACAGGCTGAGCTGTCAGGTGTCACTGCTGGTCACCTTTGTCAGGTGAGTGAAATCAGTTTCCTTTTCTCACCTGTGAAATCAGAAGACTGTCACTTCCATTAGAGTGAGGACTCACTAAGTGTGTATGAAGCCCCTAAGGTATGTAAGCTTAAGGTTCCCAAAAGGATGTCCAGTGAGTCTCCAGAGACCAGGCGAAGGGGAGGCATGCACACATACCCTTCCCCAGGCTTCTGCCCCCCTTCCGACCCAACTTCCCTCTCTGCCACATCTGGGGGAGACGGAAGGCTCAGACCAGCGTGGTTCCTGATGGCCCATCTGGCGCTGACCTAGGAGTCCGGTTAGCAACTACTCGTGGCCTCTCGCCTCCTTTCCTTGTACTTCCTGTCTGGTTACTGCTTATAGTCAGGGAAGCGAGTGCCCAGCCACTCACTTGGATGGAGGCCTCTTGGCCTTCCCAAAGATGGCCAGCCCCGTGCCGGGGTCAGTGCAGAGGTGGGATGAGCTGTGCTTCTCCTCCTCTTCCTCCCTCCTGGCGGGAAGGCCCGGGAGCCATCCGTGACCTCTCCCCCGCAGTGCGCTGCAGTGCTCTCCTCCAGTTGCGTTTGGGAGGACATCTAGAGGCGGTTTCCCCTCACTTGAAAAGTAAGCCTCCGGAGCATGCACTTACTCCATTCCTAGGTTCCTCTCTTCTGCACCAGCCCCTCTTCGCCCCCAATCCCCACACACCCAGCAGGCTCCCAAATGAGGTGGGGAGTAGCAAAGGGAAGAACGAGTGCTGGTGCAGCGCCCAGAGCTAGTCAGTGTAGTTGTTGAAGTACAGGTTGCCGGTCAGTGGTGGCCAGCAGCATGTTACTGGACGAGCACAGTTACCGGACAAGCGTGACCGCTGTGGGCTGTTAGCGGGAAAGGCAGACCTGCAGCAGCGCCGAGGCCCTCAGAGCCGCTGCGCACTGGCCGCGGTCCTCATCCAGCCGCAGCAAGACCTGGGCTGGCTCTGGAAGTCACTCTAGCTCCAGGTCCAGAAGGTTGGTCTGCCTGGGGAGAGGAGGGGAGGCCCTTCCATTTCCTTGCTTTGCTGACTCCTGAGGAGGCCATGGCCCTCGCCTGGGTTTTGCTGGAGAAAGGCCCAGAGGAACATGGCAGAGGCCGTCAGCAGCCAAGCACCTACAGGCAGAGTTTGTAATCCCTGCTGATGGGGACTCTCCAGGGCCCGGCCTGTGTTTATTTGGGAAGTGCTACTGAAATTGCTAGTAAATTAAAACGTGAAGCTACAGAATAATGTGGAACTAGTGTGCGACAAGAAAAACACCACACTGGCTCTTCCGTACATAGACTTGCATAATAAAGGGGGCATTGTCTTTTAATGAGCAAGTCAAGACGGGGAATTGAGTAAAATCTAAATATTTGGGGAAAGTTACAGCCAAAATAAATTCCAGGAGGAATAAAGATATGCCATTAAAATTACATATAATTGTTAGTGGATATTAAATTGATCTCTGGAGAAACCAAGATGGCAGCCTACGTAAGCACCTAAGCTGCCGCCTCACACAACAATTTCAAAACAACTACTAAAAGATAAAACGGACATCATCCAAAACCACAGGAAAGCTGATGGCGTGGGAAATCTACAACTAGAAAGAAGGAGAGAGGCTCACAGATCAGGGGAACCACAAAGTGCTGAGGTAGGGAGACATGTGCACAGAAAGGAAGGGCAGCTGAGTGCCTAGCTGGCGGGAGGGGGAAAGGAAGCCCCCGATTGCACTGAACTCTTTCTGACTGCACTGAACCCCAACCCTGGCCAAAACCCCATGGACCCAGGCTCATACGGGTGGAATCTGGACTGTAGAGAAAGGCACCCAGAGACTCAGAGACTGGGAGACTGGGAAGCCGGGAGCCGCAGGGGGCAGGGTCTACAGTCGTGCACGAGTGAGTGCACGCAGAGAGGTCTGACCTTGGGTTGCTGCGGCCTCTCCATAGCAGAAGGAGTCAGAAGCTCCAGCCTACAGAGACCCAACCCAATTCCGGGTGAGCCCTTGGGGCACCCATGCTCTTGCACGTGAAATCTGG